CGAGGGGCATCTGGGGTGGCTGGGGCTGCAGTGGGGACGGGACTTGCCGTGGGTTCAGACAGACATGCGTGTGCATGCATGCGGTGGAGGCCTGTGTGCCTACAGGTGGATTTGTAAATGATTTCGTATTTGGTTTTGTTCCAGTGAATGTATCTTCTGTCTTTCAGTTTTCTCTCATTTTTTGCATGAACTTAAGAGGGGGTTAAATCACCATTTTTTCCTCATGGAACTGAAAGTATTTACTTAAATGTTCCAGAATATATACATCAATAAAAAAATACTGTGTTTCTGAACCCATGCGAGCAGTATGATCTAAGAAAATGCATATGAGGGTTAGAGATGGGGGTAAAAGCTCTCTTTCATCTTTTCACCATGTGGTTTGAGGAACTTGTCCATGATATGGTGCAAATTTTCCTCTAGAGGGAATTTTATACCCTTTATAGGGGGACTTTATATATGCATAAAATAAGAATACATCTATTATAAGAATATGTCTTGTTAGGCATTGTTCTTGGGTTAGACACTTTCATGTCTTACTTGCTCTGTTCTGCTCTGTATTAGTAAGCATTTATTACATTATGAACTGAATTCTGTGTATCTCAGTTCTGTTTACTAATACAAATCTGAGGATCAGTTTTGTTCTGTGCAGTAACTGCACGAGTGTTTTCTACAAAATGGAACTCTTCGGGGGGGGGGGCGGGGAGTGAGGTATTTACTGTACTCTCAAAATCTCCCATGACTTTGTTAGGCAACTTCCCTAGGAATCTGAGAGACCTATGTTCAAATTTATTCTTCTTGATTGAGGGCAGGTATTCGGTTCAAAATCAATGGCTGGATCACAAGACTATGGACTATTCTGGCATGAATCTGATTTACATTGGGATTCTTAACTGTTCTTAAATAGCCATTGCATATGGGTATTTAAGAGAATGATCCCTTCTTTTGAGGTATTTCTATATAACTAGAAATTATTTCATGTTTTTATGCATAGCTTTGAGTTAATAAAATATTTCCTGCAAATTTACTGTTCATGCAATCTTTTCTGTGTATTTGTATGGCAGTAGAATCTATGGACAAGAAGGTGGCTGCGTAGGTGGAAGGGAATGACAGTATGAAGCAGAAGTTTGTGTTGGGGTGTGAGGGTTGGATGTGACTAACAAATGTGTGGAGCAAAAGAGCTGTATACGGAAAAATGTCTTTATGCATGGAAGGAGGCTGAATTGGTGTGTGCACGAACACTTTATGTAGAAAAAGTGAAATATCTGTGTTAGGATCCAGTGTGGGATAACTGGACAAAATCTGCCATGCTATTTGTTAAAGCTGTTTAATAATCTGCATGGTAACTAGTGCTGTGTGTATTCATAATGCTTTGTAGCCCTGAGTGATTTATCCATTCTGTATTATATCAGATAAAGTAACTGATGTAACATTAAGAAAATCTAAAACTTGGGAAAGTTGAAGAACCAAGAGTTTTAACTTGCTTGGGTTGTAAATTGTCGGTATGTTTGATAACAATTTGCTTCACTTAAAAATGTTGTGATTCTTCCACATTATCATAATCACGAGAGAACTGTACCATTAATGTTGGGTTTAACATCAACTGATACCAGCTAAGCAGTCACACTGCCTAGTGGGTTTGGGTAACAGAGTCATTGGAGAATGTAAGTGCAGTACAAGCCAGCCTTGATAAAGGTTGATATTTACAGTCTATCTGGTACATCGCTAAGTTTCTAAATTGTTGATAAATTATGTCTCTCTTTTTTTCCCCTCCCTTTCTAAGATACTACGCATATCTTCAGCAAGCTCAAGCTTTTTACACGTTTCCATTCCATCAAATGATGACTGCAGCGCCTAATGTGGAAATCATGACTGAGCAGCCGGCTCTAGAGGGCGTTCCAGAGCCAAACATCGCTCAGGAGCCTCCAAAAGGTAGTTTGGCGGGGCTGTGCTAAGTGAGCTAGAACATTAGTAATCAATTGCAGGGGGGGAATTACTGATCTTAAACTGCTTCTTTGGACCTATTGGATTTCTTGATGCTCTTTGAGGAAGTCTTGATTAACCGTATTCTTTAAGTAGTATTTGTTACCAGACAATTAAAAAGATGCGAGGTAAACCCAGGTGATAGTATTCACGTTGTTCAGTCTCATAATTACCTTGTTGCAGGAAAAGCAGATTTTTGTTTTAGTAGATAAATGCATCATTTTAGCTGATTTCATGGGTTTTAATATTACATTAGAGAAGTTTTCTTCTTTCAGTCTGCGTTAAGGGTTTTTTTTAATTTCTGCAAGAGAAGTACAGTATAATACTGTTTATTTGAAATATTTTTGTTTAAATGCTGTTTTAGTGTGTTGTAGTAATAACAGTTAATTGCTTATATACACTAAGGATTGTTGGTTTCTAGTGAGGCTTATTTAAACAAATACGAACAGTGCTGGAAAGTGTTGTGTATGTCAGTCACACAAGTTTCGTAGTGTATGCACTTGTACGTTGCCTTTCTTTTCCTTCACTAGGATTTTGTACACTTAGGCTTTACACTAACCATGCCAAGAAAAGATCCCTTGTTCTGTTGCTTTTATGCTTGCTCTTTATCACATACAAAGGCAGTGGTCTCTGCAGGCTTAAATCCTGATTCTATAGCAACTATTCACATACTGAGTTTCGTCTTGCTTTTAATATTTAAGTCTAGGTCAGAGCTCTCTGTACCAAGGTACCCCGTCAGCCAATTTATGCAACGACATTGCTTGTTTAAGTGCATCCTTTGAAAAGCTTTGGTTTTTTTCTTTTTCAGTTGTAATGCATGGCCAGATGAAATCATAGGAAGAAAACCTCCAGTTTGAAATAGTTGCAACTGCTCTATTCATTCACAGTATTATTCACTACAGTTAGGATGTATCTCAAGTGCTATGTAGTTAGGCTTCTTTTGCAGCTTTATTATTGGATAACATGATGTCACCATGAGCACGCTGTTTGGCTGCACTTTCAAGTATTTTTAGACCACCGTAATCTTCTGTTATTAAACTTTTCCCTAATGTTTTTGCAAGAATTTAAAATTGGGTAAAACCTTCAAAGGCAGGGCTTCAAGATTTGCCACATGTGTATGAAATCTACAGGAGCATATATGAAAGGCAAAGATTTGGAGTCCAGCTACCTGCTGTGATGAAAAAAGTAAAAGTTTTAGGATTATCTTCTGAAAGGCTGCCCTGACATTGTTCATATTTCATGGCAGTGTCTGCTTGGTAGGTACCGAATCAGCATGAGAGTTAGAACATGATCCTGCTTCCTTTGAAATACATCCGACTCAGAGCAACTGGAGTATTTGTGGCATTTTTCTGTCACATGAAAAACCTCCTGGTTCTTCAAGGGGTGGAAAAGAAAAGCTGCTTATGTGCCTCACCAAGTCTGGGCCCTTCTAGTCTCTTCATTGTAACTAGACCATAGCTTGAGTATGGTTACAGCTTTTCTAAGCAGTTGCTCCAATGATGTGGTGGGAATTTCACATGACTTTTGTCCTTCTTGTAAGAAAGCCGAGTGCAAACAAAAACAGGTCAAAAAAAGCATGCAGACTTGGGGCAGTGCCATGGTATGCACTGTATTTATTTCTTATCTGAGGGAGAGTTTAATCTAGAAATTTTGCAAATAAGATGAAGTCTCAATTTTCAAGTAGTGGGTTACCTTGGCTCTTTGCTGATTTCTGCGAAGTATGTTTTCATATTTTTCAAGTTGTGTTCTGCAACTCAACATTATTAATGAACTAGGATAGAGAGCAATCTCTGGGTGGTCATGTCATGCCCAGTACCTGTGCTGATTGAATCCCTAAGCTCTGGGGGACAGAAAATGAGGAAGTTTCAAATGCGTGAACAGCAACTACTTTATGTTTGCATTTTGTAAATAAAAATTAACGTTTGGTGTCACCCATTCAAATGGAGATCCTGAAGCTCTCCTACGTTACCTTGCACTGGACAGTATCTATACCGTAAACAATAAATTGTGACTAGCTTATGCAGTGTTCAGCCTATGTGTTTGTGTTCCTGACAAGCTCATACCGTACACGGTAGGTGATCTTTGAGACCTTTTGATGTTCAGTTTCTTCAATATGTTACATAATCTGTAGCAATCAATGTTCATCCTTAGAAGCTGAAGTGTGACTAGAACTTACTATCGCATTCCTCAGAACCTAAGCTTTAGTGTTCTGCCATATCCTCCAAAAGAAATGAAACTGTTTCCAAAGGGTTGTTGCATACAGCATGTAAACAACATAATCTAGTTATGATGTTATTCTTGGTTTGTATCCTAAGTCAGTGTAGTTGCCTGTGAGTAGTGTGTGTGTGTCTGAGGCACAGAGACACCCAAGCTAGCTCTATGTTGAGCCTGCAAAACTGAGATTCATCTGGTAATTGTTTAACAAATTTTGAAGGTAAATTTATCCGTCTGATTTCTTTTTGTATCCATACATTTAGTTGAGTCTTTCTGAATACGCACACTGCAACATTAGAAATGTGCAAAAAGAATATTTGCTGTGTGTTTCAGAAGTTAAAAAAGGAGGAAGGAAAAGAAAAGCCAAAGCAACTGAGCCAAAGCAACCCAAAAAGCCTGCTGCTAAAAAAGAAAAATCAGCCAAGTCAAAAGGCAAACAAGAAAAGATCACAGATACTTTTAAAGTAAAAAGAAAAGTGGATCGTTTTAATGGTGTATCTGAAGCAGAACTTCTGACCAAGACTCTACCTGATATTTTGACCTTTGATCTGGACATTGTAATAGTAAGTAACTCACAAGATTAGGTAAAAAAGTGAATAGTTTGTACTCACTGGTTATGATTTACATTCCTTCTGGTTACTTATCTATAGTGCTTATATGGCAAGATCTTGCAAGATAAAGTATATAAACTGCTTCCTGTGTGTAGAGCTGCTTTGCATTTTCTGTTAAAAATCATAGTAACATAGTTCTAATTTCTGAGAAGTCTAAGGCTGTGTATAATACGTAGTCATGAGAGACCGTTACTTGACACTTTATTTACTGGAAGCGCCACACCAGTAGCTGTAAAACACACCGTGAGCTGCTCTTTTGGCATTGCACATCTAAATGAAACACTGCTATAAAATTCTCTGTTTTTTTAAAATAATGATGGAAGCTACCATTAACACAGTTTTGTTCATTGACAGTAACTTAAAGAGAATTGAGTGTCCTTACTGTAACTTGATTAAACTCCTGACTAGCAAGCCATATTCTTATCGTTAAAATGGACTGGTATCTTTGTAGATTGGCATAAACCCTGGCTTGATGGCAGCTTACAAAGGACATCATTACCCTGGACCTGGAAACCATTTTTGTACGTTTTTCTTTTCCTTTCTTCTTACAGAATTTGCAGAACTTTGTAACTTTGTTAAAACTTGTGGCATTTCAATTAAACTGTCATTAGGGGCTAGCTGTGGTTAATTTGTCCTTAAGAGATTGGCAGTACACATCATCCAAACTATACTTTTATACGCTAAGTATGAATGTAAGATGTCAGCAGGTTCTGTCAGAGAGGCCTAGTGCAAGGAGAAGTGATGCCAAAGTTGTAAAAGAAAACTGATACTTGTCTTCACCACATTCTTTCCCACAAAATCATACTGGTCACATTCACTAAATGAATCACAAAATCTAAAGCTCTTTCCTGAACTTTTAGAATAAAAGTCTGGTTTCCATATATATAGGACCATGGTGAGGAATTCTTGTTGTTGGCTAGGGATTTTCTATCCTTTTGCAGTAGATAAAGTAATTTTGGCTGTTTTAAACTTTTCTAGATAGGGCAATAGTCTTACCAAATCAACTGATTCTCTGTCAACATACTCCTCCTGTAGCATTCCAGTACTCCTGATAGTCGAGGTGGAGGGTTTGGTTTTGTTTTCTTTTCTTTAGAAAAAGGCAAATGCATATCTTCCTACTTCACAGGGAAGTGTCTCTTCATGTCTGGTCTAAGTAATGAACAGCTGAACCATATGGATGACCATACCTTGCCACATAAATATGGGATTGGATTTACAAACATGGTTGAAAGGACAACACCTGGAAGCAAAGACCTCTCCAGGTAGGATAACAAGGGGGAATATCATGCTTGTTAAACAAATTAATAGTTGTGATTATAATTGTCAGTACTTTCTTTTTTAGCAAAGAGTTTCGGGAAGGAGGGCGAATTCTGATGCAGAAGTTACAGAAGTATAAACCTCGTATAGCAGCTTTCAATGGAAAATGTGAGAACCTTGATTTTGAACAAATTTGTTCTGTCAGTAGGGTTTTTTTGTCCACTTACCATATCTTCTCATTTTAGGTATTTATGAAATTTTTAGTAAAGAAGTTTTTGGAATAAAAGTTAAGAACTTGGAATTTGGACTGCAGCCACACAAGGTGCCAGATACAGAAACTGTAAGTATTGATGCTGAGAAAGAAAAAAAAAAATGGGGCACTCCGTTTTGGTTATTTCAAAACTAACGAAGCCTCAGGGCTTGCACACGTTCACGATAACGTCAAAGTTTGCCCAAAGTACAAGGGATGTGAAAAAGGCTTTTACTTAAACAGAGAAAATGGGATAGTGCAATTTCCAGACACATCTTTAATACAGCTTCTTCAGACTTGCAGACTTTATTTGGGAAATGGCGTATTACGGTTAGTAAGTTAGTGCATTCTGTGAGGACTATCTAAAATATGAATAAAATACACATGCGTTTATGATGTCACCTACTTTCATCTGCTTCTCTGTGTCCAATTCCCTGTATTTTTGTATTACTGAACTTTGATACCGAACACGGCCATTGTGCTACTAGTGCCACAGTGGAGGAGAAAGACCAGTGAATCCATCATTGTGCTGTTACGTGCTACAGCTACAGTATTACTGGATCTGGGCAGGCCCAAGCACTTCCATCAGACTCAGTCATCTTATGCTGATTTGCAGCTTGAAATTAAATTGGATACTTAAGATAAACAGTCTGACAAAGAGTGCATTAGTCATAGACGTCTAGTGCTGGCAGATATCTCAAGAGACCAGCTACGTATCGTCACAAATAGGTTTGTTTTAACCTGTTCTTATAAACAGGTTAAGGCAGAGGCAATTACACTACCTGCCAAGGTGGCTTATTCCAAAGCTTCGTTACCTTGTCAGCTGGAAATTTTGGGTTGGTTTTTTTTCTTCCTGCTCTATCCCAAATTACTAGTCGTGCAAGTTTAAGCTGTCCTTCTCTAATGGTGGAGTGTTGCCATCAGAGCCTGAAGAACAGTTGATGATAAAGTGCTTGCTGCTTAAGTAGCTCTTAATACATCTACTGCAGAAGTGTTTTGTAAGAAAGATAAATAATCCTGTTTATAAGTACTAGTTCATAAATACTGTACAGTAGTAGAAGTATTGGCTACAGTTCCTTTTTCCTGAACTAACTTTACGTACCTGGCTAGGCCTGTCGGCAGAGATAGAGACACTTAAGTTCTTCAACCACACCAGAGTTTCAGTCCCTGGTGAGCGTGATGCTGATGCACTTGGCCATGAAGCCAGGCTAATAAACCTGTGATGCCTCCCTCCCTGGTTTGGGGGATTTGCGTGCTATCACGTAGTCCTCTGTGCACTTTCTGGCTCAGACCTCCGCTTGCTCAGGGAGCTCTGGAGTGTGCTTGACTCTCTGGCCTACACCTGTACATTGTACTTCTTGTAACACATACCAGCACTGCTTCTCCTGCAGCACAGAAACAACTGGTGAAAATTGTTCTCGCTTCAGCAGCCTGTTATCAGCCCCTCTCTGTAGGGCAAGACTTCTAGCTGGCCAAGAAAAACGAAAGGCTCCTTTTATCCCTCAAACAACCACCCGTGGCATGAGTTGAAGTTTGTACAAAGGGTTAAAACAAGGAGCTTAACTGTTAAGTTACTCTAGATGCTCATAGTTCAGGGACCAGTAATGCTATTTTTCTTGACCTTTGTCTCAAGCTCTGCTACGTTATGCCATCATCCAGTGCAAGATGCGCTCAGTTTCCTCGTGCACAAGATAAAGTTCATTACTATATAAAGCTGAAAGACCTAAGGGATCAGCTGAAAGGCATCGCACCGAACACAGAGGTGCAGGAGGTGCAGTACACATTTGACTTGCAACTTGCACAAGGTATTGTGATTATTTTCTTAGTCCTTTATTAAAATGTAGTGTAATGTACAACACAACTAGCAGTTTCCCAAGCAAAAAGAAATAAAGTATTTAAGGGGAGGGAAGAGACTTGCCATCTTCTTTAAATCATGTGGCTGAGAATTACAGATTCCACTCCCCTTTTAGTAGAGTCTTAATTATCTCAGGGGAGCAGCAATTATCTTGTAAAATGTGTGGCTGTTTTTTCAAGTGTTCTCTGATAAAAGCGCTCTTTGATCATTTTTGTTCTGAATAGTAATACTTGAGGTCTTCTCTTTTGGCAGAGGATGCTAAAAAGATGGCTGTCAAAGAAGAAAAATACGATCCAGGTTATGAAGCAGCATATGGAGGAGCTTACTGTGATCGTGCACTGTATGAAAGTGAACAGTGCAATTTCTCTTCAAATGGAACTGGTAAAGTGTGGTGCTGGGGGCATTCGGTCTGTAAACCTTTGCTCATGAACAAATACTGAACTTCCTACTCTTGCAGCAACTTGCACAATCCATACAATATATGTCAAGTATAGCAGCAGTTAGAACTCTTCCATAATTGAGGGAAGGTGTTGGTTTTGAGGGAGGGAAATAAAGAAAAAAATACTTTATGTAAAACCAATTGTCTGCAACTTCAAACAGTTTTCCCAAACTCGGGCTGACTCCCAAGATCTGACAGACGGACACAACTAGTGACTTACATAGTAAATCTCTCCAACTATAATGACCTGTGTAATTGCATCATGCTTTTCATAGCAAAAGAGAGGGTTGGTACTTTTTTTTTCATTCCTAAGGAAAGCAAAGCCAGAATGGTGGAACAGATAAAATAACTGCACTTGAGGTGGTTTTGTTGCTGGTGGGCCAAATGAAGGAGCAGTATTAGAAGGATGAGTGTAGCAATCTAGCTATAATTAAGAAGCTGGGAATTTTACTTCCCAAAATACCACCAACTGTAATTAAATATGAATTAAAAATACAAAAAGCAACGGCAGAAGCAGTAACTTTGGAGTAACCACCTTCCTCTGAAGTAGTGAATTTTCAGTCCTAATCTCATTTATGTTGTGAATTGAGATTTGCATTGTCTACCCTACTTTGTCAAAGAGAATGGCTGTTTGAGAAGAAATTTATTCATAGGAACCACTGCTAAGGGACGTATTCTTTTAAACATTTAGACTCTTGATTTATATATATGCAGTCACCCTTCAAAGAAATTTGAAGAAATTCTAATTTGAGGAAATGGTCTGGATCTACAAAAGCAGATGCTCAAATTAGTTTGAACTGCAGCCTGCGTAGGTGGTTGAAAAATAGAGATGAAAGATGGAAACTGCAAAAACCTTTTTTTTTATTTTTCTAGGGGTTGTTTGAGGGGGTTGGTGTTTTGTGGATTTAGAGCTTTTCTGCTAGTGGCGTCATCTGTATTTTAATCGTTTCATTTCAGTTAGTGGTATCAACTGCATTTTTTTAAACTGTGTTTTATTATTTTTTGTTTGTTTAAGCAGGAGGCAATCCTCAGTACTGTGAGGGGTCATCCTTCGGTGAGGTTCCTAATGGACAATGGATGACACAGTCCTTTGCAGACCAGATTCCAGAGTTCGCTGCTGGTGTGACACGGGAGGAAGAGGGAAGCAGTGCGTAAGAGCTGTTCCTTCTCGGCTATGCATACATGCTGCAGTTTTAATGCAGTGGTCAAGATTGGTACCTCGGTTCTCCAACTGAAGCGTTTTAATAGTATTTTATCTCCACTAGTTATTTTATTATAGTCCAAAGTAAGTGTGTGGTAGGCTCAAATCAATGAACTAGATAATTTTAAGGAACTGTCCAAACTTTTTAAAAAAAAGTTAGCCCTTTTTTGTATATGAGTTTTATATTTAATGTATACCATTTCTTGCAGTTTTTGACAAGTTGCTTTCTCATTTGTGAAGACTTCTTTGGGGCGTTAATTTTATTCCATAAATGGTAATGTAGTGGTAGCAGCAGCAGTATACTTTTTACTGATGCCTCAATATTTGGATAATCTCATAATCCTTTTATATCTGGAGGGGAAAATGGGAAGTGTACCCTTATATTACATGAAGTGGTGTTTTTAATCATGCAGAGTTAAGCAAATTGTGCTTTTTAAGTCTGCCTTTTACCTTCTTAAAAAGTGCAGAACTTGTGTTCTGCAGCTGTGAGCACTGAGTATTTTCTGGGTGGGAAGAGAGAGCTCTGTCTACTGAGTGACTGGGCCGTATTCAGAATTAGTGGAGGCATCATCTCAAGTCACAATGCTGGGGAGGAAAATCTGTGTTGCGCAGGACAGGGCCTAACTATGGTAGCTGAGCTGTTTTAGGGTAAGGTGTCCCTACCACTCCATCTCTTTTCCCCCTTAAAATCAAATGTAAGGAACTGGAATTCCTTAAAAAAAAAAAAAAAAAAAGAAAAAAAAAACCCCACAACATTCTTAAATGCCACAGAATTTAAGAATTAAACTCTGTCATTTCTGTGTGATTTGTCTCTTCACCTGACCTTTACCAGGGGACAACCCCTTTGAGCAGATTACATTGCGGGGAATTGAAAGACTGTATTCCGTGTAAGAATCACGTACAGCTACGTTGTTTACATCAGGGACAATTAGCACAGGGGTGAAAGAGATTTGCAATTCAGCAGTTTTAACATTCAGCTCTCTTCAGTCTGTAAGACCTTAAGCGGGTGTTCTCATTCCTCTTACACGTGAAAAATACGAAGTTAAATATAAGGGCAGCTGTTCCACATATAAGAGGTCCACTGTAGAAACTACAGCCCTCTTCTGAAGAACTTTATTGAAAGGTGCATATTTTTGGCCAATATTAGTGACTGAGAAAGAAATGAGATTCCATGCTTGTGCCTAACCATCATCTTCTTTCTCTCTTTTATCATGTGAGGAAGAGATGAAGTCAAAGCAATAAGCTGATCAAAACATTAAAGTTTTGATGATCTTATGACAGTAGGTGCTTCACATACTTGAAAAATAGATACAGACAGTATCTCCTCAATCCACGCTGGTCAGAGATTCCTGTACCAGCATTTTTCATCCTTTCCTCACAGCCAGTGACAGTTGTCATGCATCAAGTGTGACGAGTTAGGGTAGATTCTAATCCTGCCATCACAGCTCTCACAGAGATCACACACTGTCAACCTGTTGTGAGGCAGGCGTGATGTTTACAGTTTTCTTCCCAAATTATGTGGCTTAATTCTGAGCGTCTTAAGTGTGCATTATGATTCCAATTGTGTTTATTAGCTTCAGCATAAAGCTCTTAAGTATATTGTCAAAAAGGTGCAGGATTTGTCTTGTCTGTTATTTAAAGTGTACTGTATCATGTATTGCTGTTTACATGGATGTTTTCCTGCAGGTGCTCAAAGTATCTTGCATCAGGGATTCGTTACAATTCAATTTTATTTTTCAATAAAATTAGAAGCATGTAATTAGCACTGCTGAGTATGTAGCACAGTAGGATATAACTACTGTAAGGCTGTCCAGTTTGATTGGAAGGGAAAGGTCTCTTCTCTAACAAAGTCACCTACTCAGTTATCTAGGTATAAAATACAGTGAAGTGTACAATGACCGTTTCACTAAATATGGCAATTCTATGTGTATTCCCTCAGAACTGGTGCTCTTTTTGTTACAGTAATACAAAAGTTCTGTGAATGTTTCCCAATAAAATCAGGAACTGTATTACAGCGAGTTAGAATGTGCTTCTGCATCATGCTAGTGGGGGTCTAATTGCACTACAGGGTCTGTAATACACAGAAACACTGCAGAACAGTCACCGTGCAGCAGAACTCCACTCCTTAAAATGCTGCGTAAGTTTTCATTTTGGGCTGTTTAACATAGGCTAGACAACTAAAGACACCTTGTACGTAATACTGCAGGTATTTCCCGTGTAGCTTTCTCTGCTCTCTACCAGCAGAACTTACTGAGTGCCAGGGTGTTTTAATGCATCACCTCTGTAAGTGTAAACTGTTTCCTCACCTTACAGGAAAGTAAAGATAATCTGAACTGTGTAACTGTCACTCTAGCCTCCCTCTCCAGCTGTAAGCACACAAAACTGATGGTCATTTATTCACATATTTAACAAATACTTAGTTTTCTAAAATCAGTTAATTATAAAACGCGTTGCATCTCAAACTATTGCATACTGCAAAACATAGTGTATGAATGCATTTAAGTGTTTTCAGTATCAGCTATCAGGACGAGTTATTTTGAACTTCCCTGAAGGGTCAGGAATAAACCAGTTTTCCCAGAGATCAGTGTGAACACTGGGATAGTCCCAAGGTTTGTATCTCCCATTCCAATGAAGTAATTTAGCTTCTTGAAGAAAATGCTCTGAGTAACGGGTATCAGGACTCCAACCTGCATGGGTACATTAAAAGAAAAAAAATCCAGTTTTTAATAATTGAAGACACTGTGAGGCAAATTCAGGGGGGGTTTAAAGTCTGATTAGTATGGTTTCACCTGTTAATAGACAACTAGTTGTATGATAGACTAGCTTTTTTCAACTACTTGCCTCTGATGCAGAATTAGAAAAAAAATCTCATCAAGTTTCCTCTCTCAACACTTTTAACATCTTGGCACAGCTGAGGTTAAAAAAAAATCCTTTTACTATTCATTTCACTGTACCAGGTAAGCCATTCTCTTTTTCCTGGGATAATTCACCATTCCCAGGTGAATGGTAACTATGTCCTCCACGAACACTGACAACGCCAGCACTGCCAGGCATCCCACCTTCTTCTTCTGTACCTCCTAAAAGGGTCTGATTTTTTTCAGTCTCTCACTACATTCAGATCTTTCATGCATTCTTTCCCTTGTTTATGGCAATATAGGTTAGGTGTTCTTCAAACATGTAACTTTGTCCTTGGTATTTGTGGGGTTTTTTTAATCCAATTTAATGGCTATTAAGGGTTTGGGGTTTTTTTTGCAGGGTTCAGCTATTTTGTTTGCTTAACTTGTTAAGATACTTGCATAATGACACCTGTGGGGAACTCCCACATTCTGCCCTACACTGAAGAAGGCAGGGCTAATGAGCCACATACTGTGGCTCTGAGGTATAAAGTAATGCTTCAATGAGGTAATGTAAGGTCCTGTATAGGAGTCTTACAAACTGCTCACTTTATCTAGTTCCAGCTGCAAACGGTGGGAAGTTAAACTTACCAAGATGCCTTATGTGCCACATAGGATTAATAGTGGAATACTTTCCATGAAATACAATCAGCATTGGAGAGGTTGCCACACCTCCCCCAAGGGTGCTGCTGTAGAGGTTTTCCCTGCAAAAGAGGCGGGGGGGAAATGCAAAAAATGTTCAAAACCTCAACCAAAAAGTCTTCAGTACAAAAGTCACAAGATTAAAAATAAGTATTCTGCAAAATTCAAAATTACTTTGAACGGACCAGTTTTCAGCATACTCCTTCCTAATGCTGTTAACTGGTGGTATCTGCAACTCCAGTTCCTGTCCAGTAAACCATTGCTACCAAAGAAAATAGGAGTCGGATCCAACATGAAGCCAATTACTTCTACACACTGCCTACAGTCTACAAGGCCAACAAAGTTTACAGTACAAAAAAAGCCACTAACATAAAGGCATCAAACTTATTTTAGCCTGGTTCCTTAAGAAAATGTAAATGTTTCCATGTGTTTCATTCTCTTTGTCCTTCTTCCCCCTCCCTCCCAGATTTTAGTCCCATAAATTAACTGCAAAACAGATTTGCCAAAGTCTAGTTAGTGTAAACTAACATCTAAAGGGTATCACTGTCCTATGATTCTTGTGATAAATCCGGGGCTAGATAAAGCCAAGTTACTGTAAGGACAGGCAGCAGGAGGCAGCAGCTGGGTGTCTGGCCACAGCATGCTCAAGGTCCTGCTGGCCAGTCAGCACCTGGGCAAAGCCACCACACCTATGGGGCACTGTGCCAGCTGCCAGCCCAGCAAGGAGGAAACCCGAGGAGTACCAAGAGGTGCTTGGAGGCTACAGCACACAACAAAACCCATACACTCCCCTCAAAACTGGGTTTCAACTGCTAACCCATTTGTTTCACTGTTGTTTCAAAATCCAGCTAAAAGGAACATGAATGTGTTACTAAGGTGTAAAAATTTTATAGATAAAATTTGCAGTAAGATTCATGGAGGTTTAAAAAGCATAGCAGTAGCTTGTCAGGATACGTTAGATAAGCAGAGTAAGAAAAAGCACCATTTGGCTTTTCATTCCTTCAATGTGTGTATCATTTGCGTCTCTCCTCCACTTGTTCAACAAGTAGTGGACCTAGTTCAACAGCACAAGCTATTTGGTTTCAGTTTAGCCTTACTAAATTTAAATTTAACCCTCTGCAGAGAAAGAAAGTAAATGTCAAGTTTGCAAATGCAGGTTAACAGTGAACTGGCATTAAAAAAAAAGAACAGTGATTGTTTCACTGTCACGACTTATTCATGGTCAGTGCCAAAAAGGTATCTTTCATGTCAAACTTGGTTCATCTATAGAAGTGTCTTCTACTGGTATTTAAGAAATATGGTGTCCAGTTACAGATTGGCTGACATGACAATAGCAGCGACCCCACAGAAACAAGGAAACACTCCTTTAAGCCACCCTCAAGAAGGGAAGATCGTAAGTGATTTGATCCCAAGTGAGGTGGGTCACCCAAAAGAAAGAACCACATGTTCTCAGTGTCCCACAGGATTAAGTGTGGCTTGTGATCAAACACAAGACTAAAATTCCAGGTGGCCATTTCCAGGTACACAACCGGTCAGATTTAAGCAAATGGAAATTCTGGAACACGAGTTACATTGCTTTAAGAGATCTCAGAGAAAAACTGCTTGGATTTAAAAACTTTTAAGAGCTTTTAAACAGAAAATGAAACTGTAAACTGAGTATTAAAAGTAAAGTGCAAAGCTAGATTTCTACACATACTCTACATTTCTTTGCATCCACTTTTCCAACTGCTTTGTAATCCGTTGACGTTTCCATTCAGTCATGTTAGCAACAATTACTCCAGGATTAAAGGAGCAGGTGCTGGGGCTGATGCCAAGATCTCTAACTGCTTGCTTTCTGTAGTCCAGGAAGCCCATGTATGTGTTCTAAGAAATAAAAAAAAAAAAGTATGTTTATCCCCTATGAATCTCTGTAAAGATAAGTGTAAATGCATCTCTCTGCTTCTCACATGGAGACTAGAAACACGCTCTCAAAGCTGAGCTACTAGATGATGGCTACCTGTCTTTATTTACATATGACACAAGGCTGAAAAGCAGGATGCTTCTAGCTACTAAATTACTTTTCCCACAGTATTGTTCCGTGGGAGTTTGGTAAGACTCTCCCCTCACCACATATTTGCCTTTCTGTGGCTTGCTCTGATGTGTCGCACTTGTGCGGACATAATACTAGAGGGACTCACTGACAATTCTGGGGAGCTCAGCTCAGGAATTAGCCTTCAAACTAAGAGCTTCAAATCCTTCAGAGCTTCAAATCCAAACAGAGCTACTAAAAAAAATTAGTTCTTTATTACCTGTAAAGCTATTACAAACGTATAAAAACAAAACAAAACAAAAACCAAAAAACTTTCACTTTGGGGAAAACATACAAAATCATCTTACATTTGAAGGTAAAGAATACATTCCGGATTAGAATTCCAAAATGGCATCTTACCTGCATCCCTACACTTCTAATCATTTCATGTGTAGAAGGCAGATCACAATCATCTGAAAAAGCTGCAGCATGTCCAGGAGCTAACTTAGTGTCGTAGAGTTCCTGGATGTCACCTGATTACAGAAAGGTCAAAAGCATAAGAAGAAACTTGCTTCACTGCTACCAAGTTGATAGGATAACTTCTGTTCTCATGTATGTTTACTTAGGAACATACCGATTTTAGGGGACGGCCCAGGTATTAAGAAGGCTGAATTTTGTAATAAGGGACAATTTTCAAATTTGAGTCCTGTACCTGGATGTCCAACGTCTATCTTTAGATATTATCATCAATATTCAATACAACCATATTCTGGTCTGAATGTCCAAAATCAGCTACAGCAGAAGCCAATGACACTGTTGAGAAGCCTGTTTTTACCCGGTTATGCATTCATAGGGCTCGCCTTTGGAGAAGGAGGGCACAGGCAATTTTTCTAAGCCTCTTCAAGTCCCACAAAAGTGCCACTTCAGTCTCTCACACAGATCAGGTTTTTCCTGGTGTTACTGTGTTTATACCTCATACTAAGATACCTGCATTCCCAGCACTACCCAGCTGAAATGTGCCTGTCACACTTGACCATCCCTGCTGGCTTCACAAGACCACCCAGTATCTCACCCATCACCTGACTAGCAGGTACCCATGATGTGCCAGAACAGTTTCTGGGCGGGTGGGAAGCATGGCACTGCCACAGCCACTGAAGGAGTCTGCATCCAAACCCCCTACAGCTACCAGCTTTGCTGCTGGGCACAGGTAAGATGAATTATCTTGGAAGGTCACATATGGCCCAGTAACCTGAGGTGAGCTCATTAAAAGACTAGTAACTAAAAACAGTCCACATACTGCAAACACTGGAACTACTATTTCTGGAATAAGCAGAGATTATTTATTTGTCTGAACCCATCAGCTGGTTGGAAAACTTGGTTTAGGACTTATGTCCCACCAAGAAATAGTATTTGAATTAATAATATTTTCTCCTGATTCTAAAGAGCTTCTGCTTTTTCAAGAGAAAAGCAGAAAAAGGAAGGAAAAAAAAAAAATCAAACCAAACAACTCTGGGCTGACACCCCAAGTTCAGTATGTTTCATTCTTAATGCTTTGCAGTAATCAACAACCAATAAATAAACGATCCCAAAACGCCATTCACTCCCACTGCAGAGGCATCTGACAGAAAGCAGTCTCACATTACAGCTAAGACATAGGGAGCGGCCACTGGAACAGGCATCTGCCTGCCCTCCACCCCACTCCTGTATGTCCATCTTTATTCCCCTTCTCTGGGCCCTATGACTGTGTGGCCCAAGGTTAAGCAAGACAGGCTGGCTGAAGCAAAGGGGAAAAAAAAAATCATACTAAAGGTTTGGGTTTTGTTATGGCTTTTTGTACTGCTAGTCTTCTGCCAGGTCAACCAGCTGAATCAGCTTACCCTGCAGCCACACCAGTGTAGGCATGACACAAGTAACAGGAGCTGCCTGGGGACCAAGAAACCACTTCCCTCAGCAGCGGCCTACCATGAGCTGCAACGTCGAGCTGCACCGCTATCCTGCAGCTCCAGAAAGACCATCAGCAGACATAAGCTAGCACCCCTAACGAAAGAGAAAGCCCTACCTCCCCTTTTCTCCTAGCCACGCTGCCTTGACTCCTACCAAGGAACTAATTCAGGCTGAAAGTAATTGCGTTTCTGGTGAGCGCCTGCGCAGGGGCAAGGAGGAGTGCAGGGGAAGTGATGGGCTCAGCTTCGAGCACTTCTGAAACTGGAGCGTAAATGAAAACTTTAAGAACCTTTCAAAGAGTTAAATATTGCTGTTGTCCATTAATGACAAACAGAATAACAAAGCCAAAAAGCAGAGATAGCCACTGGAAACACAGATGTTGAAGAAAGTGTGATATGAAGTCTACTGCACATTAAAATGAGACAGGCAGAGCAGACTAATTGTATTTTATAAAGCAGCTAACAGAGGCCCCTTTAAGTGCAGATGTTCTGAAATCTGCCACTAAAGAGACAAAACTATAAAAAGGTGCAGAGAAGCAGGTGGAGAATAAAACTGTACTTCTGTCGTGTAAATTCACTGATCTTAATGTTCTTACCTCAAAAGATTAATTTAGGTCAAAAATTTTATTATAGTTACACTCAGTCCTTTCCAAAAGGAATTTTCATCGCAACATCCCCTTAATGTTTAACAAGGCTAGGTGAAATGATTTTCTTGTCTCTGTTTACTGGACCTGGCTAGGATAGAGTTAATTGTCTTCATAGCAGCTCATATGGTGCTGTGGTTTAGATTTTTGACCAAAACAGCACTGATAGCACACTAATGTTCTTGCTTTTGCTGAACAGCGTTTGCACAGCATCAAGGCCACCTCTGTTCCTCACTCTTCCCCCGCAGCGAACAGATCAGGGGGTGTGCAGTAGGCTAGGAGGGGACATGACCAGGCAGATGACCCACACCGTCCAAAGAGATGTTCCATACCATGTAATGTCATGCTCAGCAATAACAGAGAAAAGAGAGGGCCTGGGGGGGGTTAGCTCAGGAACCGGCTGGGCATCTGTATAGCCACTGGAGGTGGTGAGTGATTGCCTTTACATCACTTGTTTTGTTTTGTTTTCTTCTCTTTTCTTCCATTTATCCTTTACTTTTTAAATACTTGTTTGTTTTACCTTGACCATCAAGTTTTCCTGCTTTTGTTTTTCCTTCCCTCTTGCCCCATCCCACTGGGGGTTAAACCACAACACTGATTAAAAATATGTTATAAAATAACAAGAAAACAATATGATATAACAAGGGAGGACAACAACTCTACAGAGCTGTAAAAATACACTTGGAAACAGAAGAGAAAAAATATAAATTAATCTTTAAAAACTAATTGTTCCTCCAATTAGAATTCTTTGTATGAAAAAAAAAAAAAAGACATTTTTCAGGAACTGAATGTTTTCTAAGTGCTCACATTTGTGTAGGAGGTCTGAAATCTTTGCTCAAGATTCTGCAAATTGCTATGGATTCTGAGCTGAAAATGCTCAAAATCGTATTTTGAGTGTTTGGAATTTAAACCCTCTTATTTGAGTAGATTCCTCTTGCTCTCAAGAACAGCAGTTCTGGATCAGGAAATGCGTTTGTGGGAATTCAAATACTAGCAGGAAATGCATGTCACATACTTAACAATAAATACTGCAGCATCTAAGTGAAATCCATGATATGTTTCAGCAATTAACCAGATTCAATTAAAATGAAATCCATACATACAATTTTGATCAAAATCAACTATTCAAAAGATATATGGAGAGAAGATCTACTTCAGACTTTCCTTTACATAAACAAACAGATTATTTGTAGTTTTCCTGAGAGGAACAATCCGAGAAGCTGCCTCCATTTCTATTATCTCTCATAGTTCCAAACTGTAAAAGCTGCAATAACTTTGACTTTAATTCTGCTAGAAGCTGCTTTTTGGATGACAGCTTACCTTGAACAATGGTATCATCATCCAAATATATTACTTTCTCATGTTTCTGGATAAGCAAAGGAAGATAAAATCGAACGAAGTTCAGCTATTAAACAGAAAAAGAGGTAAAAACTAAATGGTAAAGCTATTTAATGTAGTCTCAGCTTCTGTAGCTAATATATGATAGTATATATGTATATAAGACAGTAGCTTCTGTCTCTATTAACGATCAGTTTTAATTTCTCTCTTCACTGAGTACTAGCCAATGATCATTTGCTTCCTCCCCCAGAACTTTAATAGTATCCTGAATCCATTATTATTACTATTATTATTTATCCCTACTTTACTTACTATGGCCCTAATCAAGCAGCCCAAAACAGTTGCTTCTTCACAGAATCATTTAGGTTGGAAGAGATCATCTTGTCCAACCCCTCTTCTCAAGCACAGTCCACCCAAGCAGGCTGCCAGGGACCATACCCAGTTGGGTTTTGAGTATCTTCACAGACGGAGACTCAGCAGCCTCTCTGGGCAACCTGCTCCAGTGTTTTGACTACCCTCACCATTAAAAAGTTTTTTCCTGTGCCCAGAGGAAATTCATGTATTTTTATTTGTGCCCATTGCCTCTTGTCCCTCCCCTCTGGTATTTATACACATTGATAAGATCCTCCTGAGCCATCTCTTCTCCAGGCTGAAAAGCTTCAGCTCTCTCAGCCTCTTCTCATATAAAAAAATGCTCCAGTCCCTTAATCATCTTTGCAGTCCTGTGTTGGACTTAGCCCAGTAAGTCCATATCTTTCTTGTACTGGGGTGCTCAGAACTGGACACAGTACTCCAGATGCAGCCTTACCAGCGCCAAGTAAAGAGGAAGGATCACCTTCCTGGACCTGCTGGCAACGCTCTTTCTAATGCATTTTTACAGCATACATCATACAAAACACTTTAAATTTAATAGTGTCATCATTCCACTTTATAGGAATTATTTGACTGGTGGCACAGACAACGACTTCTACAATGGCAATGAAGAACACAGCAGAGGGAAAAGAATGTAAGAACAACCATACTGATCCAGACCATTTTACCCAGCACCTGCCTTAACAGGGGTCCTAAGCAGATGCTCAGTGAAAAATAAGAATAGAGCAAGCATACAAAAAGTTGTTCCAAGTATTCTCCTAGCTTTCAGTTATTTTCAGCTCAAGGGATTTCCTGAACCAGATGTGATCTCTCTAAATATAAACTTCAGTCCTCACTGAATCCTTCTAAATTTTTCCATCCACAAGACCTTTCAGCGAGGAATTTGGAGGTTTAGTATCCATTGCATGAAAAACGTGCAACATTTCTTCTTTGTTCTGACTGTGGCTCCTACTAATTTAATCTAATGGCCATTAGTTCCTGCATTGGAAGAGACAGTGATCAACCATCACCCATCCCGTCCTGCATGCCACTCAGTTCTGTAGACCTCTACTATTTTCATGCTAGAAGTCACATTTCCGGGCTGAACAGCTTTAACCCACTGATTTCTTGCATGAAATCTTTACCATATGTTAGAAATGTCAAAGGCTCAGAGAAGGCAGCAAGAATAATCATTCTGAACAGACCTGAACATTTTCCAGTGGTGCTACCTCTTTTTCAGATAAGGGGACAAAGACTGCACATAGTATTTGGGATGTGGAAAAACTATGGATTCATATTGTGGCATAATGATGTTCTCTATTTTGAAATTTACTCCTTTCCTAATTAATTTCTAACATCTGATTTGCCTTTTCTGACAGCCAGTAATAGTAGTCATTAGCCTGTGAATTAACCCTGGACATGAGCAGAATGCAGCCAACTCAGCATCATGGAGGTACAAAGAACACTATTAGATCTTCCCTCTAATAAACTCTGAATATATTCTTAAAGATACAACACATTCAAATTACCAAGTTTATGCCACCAAACAATGCAGTCTCAGCAAGACAGACAAGTTGCAAGGAGCTTGTTATAGTGCTTTGCGGGTTGGACTAGATGACTTCTAAAGGTCCCTTCCAACCCAAACGATTCTATGATAGTGCACTTTTACTTCTTGAGTGAGAGCATAGCATTTAGATCTGACATGGCTTCTCTGGCTTGCAACCCTCTGTGTAATGGAACAGAGATGTAGGACATGAGGAACTGGCTGGATGGCCGAGCCCAG